ATCTCTTGATATTCCAACATCCGCAATATTTGGAACGCCTAAATTCATAGCTTCACTATTTGCTTTTTCTGTAGAATAATCTGTTGAACTACCGTAAACTTCAAAATAAATTCTTCCGCCCAAAATTACTTCAGTTGGTATGAATTGACCAAAATCCTCAACAATTTGAATAAATTTTTTAGGCATTTTTGATTCTATGGCATTCTTTACACTCTTAACAAATTCTTCAGTTAGTATCAAATGATCCCTTATGTTAATATTCAGTGAGTGTTTGCCATAATTTCTATAATGATAAGTTGAATTTGTTTCCAATTTAGATTTATTTCTGTTCATTATTCCAGCCGATAACTTTATAAAACTTTGCAATTTACTATTAATATTAAGTGTTAAATTTGTTTTTGTAAACATATCTTCAGTTTCGATTGAATTGAATTCAACCGTACCTGATCGAACTCCTTTTATACCAAGGTCGTATAATTCACAATCTTTCATAATAAACACCTTACAATCCTTGGTCTTAATACCGTCATTAGTTATGGTACAGCCATAATCTAATTTGTGTTTTTCATTCAAATATTTCCACAAATTTGAATGAATTAAACTTAAAATATATTCATTATCGTTTTGGACTATAATTTCTTTTAAGCGAAATTTTTCCTCGTTCGAATTTGATATTTTGGACATTTCATCAACATTTTGAGAAAATGATAATTCGTCATCGATGAACTTTTCCATTTCCAATACCTTACGAACACTTGATAAATTATCTTCAAGGTTTAAATGTGCAATATCGGGTGGTTTCGACGTTGGATAGCATATTTTTACCAATTTTACCACAACCTCCTCTCTTAGTATAGTAGTAAAGTTAAATGAAAACATTTTTTTTTTTTTAAAAAAAAAAAAATTTTCGTTAACGCTTTTTTTGGAAATCTTTATGCAGTTCATTATATTAACTAAAAACATTACTTTGTGTAACAAAAAATTTGAATCGTAAAATTTACTACGGCAAGTGGCTATAATTATCTACAATCAAAACGTTAGTATTTATTATGCGAGGTAGGCAATACTTTTTTTTTATTTATTTATTACAAAAACAATTTAAAGAGATGTATTTTACGAGAAAGAAATTTAAGATACGGAAACACAAGTTATATAAATATAGAGATTTTTGAAGATAATTAACGTTAAAGTTTCAAATGTCTATAAAATGTAATTTAAATCGGAGTATTTGAATCTTTTTATATTACTGTATACTATATATGTATGATTTTAAGAGCTTAAAAAGTTCTTGCAAAAAAAAAATAATTCGTTAAATTAAAAATGATCGGCACGTTTTTGCACAATTTTTTTTGACTAGCTAATACCCAAAATGATGATGATATAGAAACGTAATAAAAATTAAAAAAAATAAGGAATAGAAGGATAAAAACTATGTAAAAACCTTGCTGAAGGGATCATCACGAGCAAATGAGGCATTAAATATATTAAATGATCCAAAAGGATTTTTTTTACAATCAAATAAAAAAATTTAAAATCTTTGCTTTCCATTTACTTTGTTAAAAAACTTTGTGATAATAGTCATTTTATTGCAATTTTTATTTTATGGTTTTTTATTAATATATTTTGCATTATTTTAACAGATATGGATGGAATAAATTATATGGATTGTCAATAAAATTTTATAATTTCTTATTTATCGAAATTATTTAATTACGACATGTATAGTATAATTGATACTGGAATGTAATATCGCGAAATTTTCAAATAATGAACTTGTTTTTTGAAATTGTTAACTTTTTATAGGAACCTTAAAAATTTGATAAGTTTTGGGCTTCGTCTTTCATCCAATTAGATATTTGATTTGAAGTGAAGGTTTTCCATTCACTAATGTGAGGTACGGTGTTAGTGATAGTCTAGTTATGACGCATTAGTACTGCGCCAATTACAATTAGCGAATGATGATCCTGTCGATCA